GTGTGTGTGTGTGTGTGTGTGTGTGTGTGTGTGTGTGTGTATGTGTGTATGTGAGAGAGAGAGAGACGTATGTTCACTAAAAACTTATACTGAATGTCATTAAAACAAATTACTACTCAATTCATTGACAATTCTTGAAATTAGTAAAAACACACACTCACTCACTCACTCACTCACACACACACAAACACACTCACTCACTCACTCTCATACACTTACCCGCTACGTGTTTACAGTACTGTGTTAACAAGCACGTCAAGAATTAAAATTATATTTTCAAAATTAAAAACATTTATCATTTATTGAGCAACAATTAGCCTTTAATGAAACCAAACATTTTAAGAATCTTACGCGCGAATTGTGCTAAATTGAGAATTTTTCTAATAACATACAGCACATTCATGATAAAATTGCCCAAAATAGGTATACGCTGTATGGACGATTTATCTAGCCGATCAATAAGTCGATCAATAAATGGTTTTGGTCTGTGTAAAAATGTGGATTTTGGGTTCATTACATCGTCCACCATGGTGACTGTCTCGTTTACTACGCCAAACGGATCAAGCAATGTCAATACACCTAGTTCCTATTAAAAATATAAATGATTATTAATTTGTTGTTAATAATATTTAAATTATTTTGTTGCACTAACAGGCTTTTTAGTTGTGGGGGTTGGGGTCGGCTTAAATATATCAAACAATCTAGGTCTATGAGTTGTTGTTGTAGCACTTGGGGTAGTAGGTGCTTTAAATATATCAAATAAGCCAAGTCTTGGTGTTGCATTTGTGGCACTGGACTTTATTTCAACTAACCCTGGTGATTCCAATTCATTAGGCGCTATTGTAGTCTTGCGGAATTTATCAAATAACCAACGTTTTTGGATACCAGGCTCACTTGATTCGTTAGCATCTCTAGCTGCTTGAGATTTAAAATATTTGTCTGATCCATTTAACAATATATCCTGGTCACTTCGGACACTTCCCGATGTGTATGGCTTGACAACCGGTGTAGTAATTGACACCAAAATTATTAAAGCAAGTACAAACTTTTTGTAATACATGATATTAGCGTGTTATTGTTAGTATATTTTTAATACTTTTATTAGAGGTAAATCAAATACAGTGTCTTAAAAACAACTACATTTTAACAGTATATGTAATAAAATTAAATGGTAATAATATGTTCTCGATATAATTCCATGAATTTGTCAGTGTATATGAAAAAATATATATTAAATTAAGTCTAGTAAATTATTCTAATGACAACTAGGGTAAGTTATTATGACCATGGACCATAATAACTTCATTTTAATCTCTATCTATCTATCTATCTATCTATCTATCTATCTATCTATCCATCCTTCGTATTTATTTATTTATTTTTATACAATTAAATAAAAGCACTTTAAAATAAGTAGCACCGCTAAAACAAACACGCGCCCAAAAATTTAATTAATTAATATAAATAGAAATTATAAAATCAAAATTTTATTTAAAATTTATGCATACAGAAAACTACAAACAAATAACATTTTAAATTAAAATCCTTAGCATTATTGCTTGGGCAAGTGTGCCAGTGCAATTTTTATCTTATCGATGAATGCCTTGACCTTAATGCCAATTTTGGGAACCTTTTCAATACCGGACTCCTCCATAGTAGTGATGAGACTCTGGAGTAATGGCAGTATTTTAAGCAGTAGCTTGGTCACTAGGCTTTTGATATCGGGCAGGCGAGTAGTCCCGGTGGTAGAATCGGTGGACCCGGTGCTCGGCTCGATAGTAGTAGTGGGCTCGGTGGTGTTACGCCCGGCCACCAATATGAACGCCGTGGACATCACCACCGCTAACATAGCAATGAATACCAGTGACTTATTCATGGTGCTTGAATCTAATATCCTGAGATAATAGCAATAGGTTTGCTGTGTATTATTGAATAAATTATACAATAATTTTAATCAAGACCCTGATATTTATGTTATAATTTTTCGTGTGTTAAAGTGAATCAAGTTTCTAATTATTATAAATTTTATTTATGGTGTTTATGTAGAATTAGTATTTATTTGTATTAAATGCTAAGACATTTACTTTGAAATTTATGTCAGTTTTATCTGTAATGTGTTTTATTTATTTAAATTCAGGTTAAATGTGATATATTAAATTTCTAATGAAGTTTATGTTATCAGGGACATACATATTAAATGCCGTATGATTAGTTAACTCGCCTATGAATTCATTGCTAGATAAAAATTCTATAACAATATTTTATTGAACATAAGTTTTAACATGCATAGGCTCATATTAATAAATATTTTATTAATTATAAATTTAATAAATAATTAGCTATTTACTTTAAATATATTATAACATTAACTTCTAATAATTAGACTACGACAATAATTTTGTAAGATTCTCCATGATGACTTTAGCGATATCACCAATGTAAGGCGTGTTCATTATACCAGATTTTTCGATAAAATCATCAATTTTATCGATATCAATGTATTGTTTCAATATTTTCATCAAGGTGCTGGTGTATATACAAATGGAATTGACCACAGAACTGGTAGTGGAGCTTTGGTCATCCCCGGCCACCCACACCACTGCACACGATATGATTACCACTAATACACTGATAATTATCAGAGAGTTGTTCATGATTATAGACTTGCTAACAAATAGTTTATAGCTTACAAGCAGAATTTATCGTAGGGGACAAAGCATAGCTGTAAACTTTTAATATAAAAAATCGTAGCTTATTAACACCAATATAAAACCAATGCAAGATTTTTGCTTTACATCTACATATGCTATACACCTTAGCATACACTCTAAGGGGACGGTTCCTAGAGAGCTCCTACTGCTTGTGAGGTTTATAGTATAGGCTTGAATTAAAATCGAAAATATTTTAGTTAATATACTTTATAATTAGATTTATTTGAATGTATGTTAAACTGATTTGAAGGTAACTGTATTATTGTTATATTAATGTGCGATTCTGTGGACTTAATATTTGTTTGTTAAATCATAATTGTAATATTTTAATTTGAAACTTTTATTTGTTTTTTATACTGATTTTCGGATCTATAAAGTAGTATTATTAATAGATTTATAGTCCTAATTGTAATAAACTACACAATAATACAGATTACATTAATATAGACTAGGTGTTCGTAGTTATAACAAAAAACAAATTATACAATACTAATTTTACATTTAACTAAAGTAATAACATTAATATTGTATTTATTACCCAAATATAATATACGGTTATACGGTATATAATTATGATTAAATAGTTTTAATGATAATCACTATTTTAGTGTAGTAAAATTTACCAAGTTATTAAAAAAGTTAATTATAAAATAAATTACATCTAAAATATAAATGCATTATAATTAAATTACTGCATATAAGGGTAATAAATCACTTTATTGAACATAAAATAATAGACATAGATCATAAATCACCACGTATCATTTACTAATCAATAAGCCCTTCAAGAATGTCAACAATCTTTGTAAGGATAGGGCCAATGACGGGCTCATTAATAATAGGCGATGCCTTCATGATTGCGATCACTTTCACAATTAACGGCTTAATCTTATCTAATAAGGCCTTTATGATGGACTTATCATCGGAGTCATCGTCATCGTCATCCCCGTCCACCACTACCACCGCGATCGCTATGAATACCACGAACAGGCCGATGAGTATCAGGTTCTTATTCATGATTAGGCGTCTGAATTGAATATATTAATCCCAATGATCCAGCAATAAATACGAAACTGATGTATAGATTTTGAATAGTTGTTTTAATGTATAGTACATAAAAGTATTTGCGAGTTATAATGTCCAATGAGTAGTTTGTCATCCGATGTGCATACCTGTGCCGTATGTTAATTTTTTTGTAGCTTTAATGTTTGTTTTATTTATTGTGTGGTTTTTAAATTTTAAAACAATTTCAAATTTGATGTCGCGACAAACACCTGTTAAATTATATACAATTTTCAAATAAATGTAAAACTATTATATTTAAAAATAAATTTTAAACATCCCAATAGGCAAAAATTGCATGATTATATTATTTTTAAAAATATAGTTGAAATAAGAATTGTATATCTAATATTATTACCTTGTATATTTAAAGTATACTTTATATGAAATACCTGTATTATATGATTGTATATTGTTTTTAATGAAATTTTATTGACAAATCTTTCAAATAAAAATAACTAATTATACAACAATATAAACTAATTTATATTGAAATCAGTTATATTAACTTGAACATTTTACATAAGGGCAACATTCATTACATAAAAGTTATAGAGTTTTACCAAAATATAATCATTATTTACATAAACTGTAAATAATTTATAAAATAAAGTATTTTAACAAATTATAATTTTATCTAAAATACAATAAATATAATATTGTATTATAATTAAAATACTATGTGGATAAACTTTATACTCTCAAAATGATACACAGAATCTTAATTAAATCAAATATTTTATTTATACATTAAAAATAATTAACTCGTTATTACAAAAAGCTTGATATCATAGTTAATATTTTGAGTAACAAGTTAAATATTGGGTTAAATGGACTGTCTAGGTATTGCATTAATGTCAACGAGGTGATCGGGATATTCAGCATGGTCTTAATGTACGTCCTAATGGAGGTAAGCGTATCAACTGCCGGCGCTGTAGTAGGTTTGCCCGTAACGGTAGCCGCCAGTAGTATAGCCACCGATAGGCCGATGAGAATGTGGTTTGAGTTCATTGAAGGGATAATTAGTGTAAATATTTTACGTATCTATTAATGATTTAGTTTTTGATAATTTTTGTATACTTTATTCGCTATGAAATAGTTGTACGAATGATATTTAAATTTGTAATTTTAAATAAAATATATTTTTGCCTACAATGGCCTGACAAATAAGGTACCAGCCCTATGCAACCGTTATGGATCGAGTAGGTGTAAATTGTTTTGATTATATTGTACATGATTATATTATTTGTGACAGTTTTTCAAGTGGTATCATTTGTGTTTTAAAATGTTTAAATTGTTTTAATAGTAGATATTTTTTGGTTAGCATATTTACATTACATTTGTATTGTTTAGCTGTCGTTTTAGCATGTGCATTTCTATAGTAATTTCTATTAATAATTATGTTAAATCATGATTTAATTTTAAAATATATTATATTGAATAAAGATATGATAATTAAATAAAAATATTAATAATTTTATTTAAATAATTTGTATGTAATTATAACAATTGTGAATTCTATAACTACTTGAATAATTCAAATACATAACATTAGAACACAATTAAAAGTATTAAATATTTAAATAATAAAAGCTATTTAATATCAATTAAATCACAGTATATCAGCTCACAATGAATCCATAAAAGTTACATAATTTTAATTAAAAAATAAAGTTAATATTGTTATACTAAATTTTTATTTATTTATTTAAAGTTTATTAATATTTTTTAAAACTAAATTAATCTAGCACTATTTATATTATGTACACACTAACTATACTCCAGATTATCCAGAGACTTAATTAAACGTAATGCATTAAAATCCATAATCATTGGCACTACATATAAAATATTATAAATAAAATAGCAAACAATACATAAATTTTAAATAAAATATTTAATATACAGTATTTACTGCTCAAATATAATATAAAATAACTTTTTAGACTTGGTGATAATTTAGCAATATTTATTAAATCTTAAACTCAAGTATTTTCAGTAATTATAAATATAGTAATTATATATTGACTGTTGATTACATCAGAATAGTAACAGAATATTCTTATATCAACACAAACAGGAGGACCCTGACCAAAATTAATATGGCAGACAGTATTTGCCCCAAAATTGGTACGGCGTTTATGGCGATCGCCAAAGCCGTGATCAGTCCTCCTA